TGCCCTTTTGCCATGCCCCTATCTAGCCCGGGGGACACTTTTTTACAATTTTTTTTGTGTCAACATGTGTAACATGATGTACTGACCCCACTAGGCTATATAACTCATTTTCGCCAAAAATGTCAGTTATGCCCTTTTGCCATGGGGGGGCAGAAATATTGTTTCATTTTTTTTTTTCAAATTGCTAGGAATATATAAGGACAAATTTTTTTCTCAAGCTTTTCTAAACAAAATGATAGTAACATTGGTATGCTCGAGATACACCTCCACTGGCGACTTTTTACCTTATTCAGAATACCGGTATGCTATGCAGATTTCTATTTTCTCAAATGCAAAATGCAATTTTGTGGTGGTTTATGGTGAAATTTCCATTTTTGTTGACCTCTAATTACGTAAATAATCGTGGGATTCTAAATTTATAAAATTAAGTGATTGAGCTACCAATATGGTACATATTGATACCAAATGCATGCATATTTGTTTACAGAAAAAAAAAGTTATGAACACAAAAGTTACTCCACCCCAAAATTTGTATTTACTAAAAATTACTAACAACCATTATAAAATGACTCAGTACCTGCAATACATTCCAAAATGTTTTATGTTAACATCAATTTTCTCATTCTACATGTATTTAAATCTACAATTTAGCCACCCCGCACCCGGCACTTGAATGCGCCACAGATTTCCGAACGAAGTCGAAGTCGAGATTGCTTCCACGATCTCAATGAATTATTAATCATGTAGGTTATTTTTTATATGGGTTCCCCGACGAAAACTTTACTTTTCCCCCAATGGATAAAGATTAGCCTTCTTCTGTAGCCCGAAAATGATACTCCAACTGTGGCGGGTCCAGGAAGCCGAAGTAGAGGGGACCCAGGGAGGATTTCGCGCAAATAGAATGTCCACACACCTCATCCCCACAACTGTTGGGGCTGAGGTAAGAAAACATTATGATTATGGCACCTCCAGATGGCCAGAAATGGCACACTCAAATTAAAAGATGAATACCAAGTTGTCTGTTTTCTCCATTTTTTTTAATAATTTATAAAAAATTAGGAGGTTGGGGGCCCGTGCTGACTGGGCTCCCCTTCAGTGGCGGCGCAAGCGGGGAGGCAGGGGGGCTTAAGCCCCATCGGTCTGGTCAAGCCCCCCCTCATCGGCCAAAGCTCGTCGGGCAGTCGGACCCAAAAAAAAAAAAAAAAAAAAGGCCTAATTTTCCCATCCCAGCCATTTCCGGTCATCTAAAAGTCCCAAAACTCTCGTTTTGCGAGGAGGGGACACCCCCCTCCCATACCCACTCCCGGCTCGGGCCTTCGGACCTCAGATAACGCTGCGCGCTATAGTTACACCCATAATACCTAGTCCCCCAGTCGGACATCTTAACCACCCCCCCCAATAAAATATATCCTAGAGCCGCCACTGCTCCCCTTGAATCTGCCACTGTTCAATATAATACTTGACATAGCCTATCATTTTGTGTCACAAATGATTAATTCCTATAGAATGTCAAGCGAAAGATTATTTATTCGAAAGATTTTTTTTACTCAATACAGTTTTTACAACCTATAACACATTAACTACAGTGTATTATGTTACCCTTCAGAGAACTTTATTTTAAAATATGGCCTAATTAATTACAGTATCTTCGTGGTTCGTGCTTCGTGGTTCATAAAAGAAATAGAGCGTCGCTCCATTAAGAGTGCCTCTCCCCCTCCCCCATGGATATGCCTAAATACAGAATTCACGAAGGCATGGTGAATTTTTTTTCATGCTTGAGGGTGGGTTTCAAGGAAACTTTACAGACGCGATATACAGACGTCAATCAACAGTTGGTTGCTCAACTCAAAAAGAGAGCTTGTAATGCTCGTTAGAAAATGAAAAAAAATCTATTTTTTATAATGATAATAATAGGTAAATTTATAAGGCGTAAATAAACAAGGTGTCTAAGCACCAAATAATAATAATAATAATAATAATAATAATAATAATAATAATAATAATAATAATAATAATAATAATAATAATAATAAGAATAATAATGACATTGCAGCGTTCGTAAAATGTTTGTCACTGGTGCTGGGAACATTCACAAAAGTAGGGGGGGGGGCATGGCCCCCAGTAAAAAAAAGTAGGTGGGCCAATAGCCCCCGCTTCCGCCGCCTACCAACCAGTGGAGTCTCCAGCTCCAGCAATTACGGACAAGTACATGTTCTCCCATCTTTGATCCATTTCTTGCCATCTTCCAAACCCATTTATTCACGTTGCAATTTACATTTCAGTGCATGAATTACCCGACAGTCAGCTTTCATCATATATCTAGAATAAGTTGGGCAATGCGACTCCAAGTAAATATCAGAATGAGTGGGTATTCCCAAACCTTCAGCGCTCTGGATAAAAGCAGGAGTCACGCGTGATGGAAATACCGAGAATCTTTTGATTGTATTTGTATGGATATGGTCTAGTGTCTGAAGCTGACTGTGGATTAATATTCATGCACATTTTAGGAGGTATGCCATTGAACATACTCCAAGCCCCTCTCCCACCTAGGTTTATTTCACCTAAGAGTCGTACGATTTCTACGAGTTAAAACTCGTGATCTTTGGAAAGGACCTATACGAGCTTATTATGTGTTAGCTACGAGTGAGGTACGACTTTATGGAGTTGGTTACGAGTTATGTAGGAATTATGCCGAGCAGAGCACCGAGTTAACTACGAGATTATTACGAGCGTAACAAGTTTGTACCGAATTAGATACGAGTTAGGTACGAGCCAACTCGGTGCGCTCGTACTTACTCGTACTAGTTTTTGGGTGCTCGCATCAAACTCGTAGATGACAAAACCGCTGACGAGTATCCAGAGTAGTGTACGAGCTAGGTAGGAGTACCCCGAGTACTCTACGAGGCTACCTACGAGTTCTTCGAGTTTACTACGAGTTATCTACTCGTGGCGATAATTTTGAACATGTTCAAAATTAGCGCTACGAGTTCAGAGCTGCTACGAGTAGGTAAGAGTCCTCTCCGAGCTTTCAGAATCGTCCTACGAGTTTTTGCCGAGTTTGCCGAGTTAGCAACTCGGCATTCTCTTGTAACTCGTATGCTGAAAAAACCCCTAGTGGGAGAGGGGTTGGTATTAAGCTTATGTCGATGTTCCTTATCATATTGTTATAAATAGTATTTTGTATGTACAGTAGTCAAATATATTCTTACTTTTTTCTTTATAATAAATCATGGTACCTATAAACTTTTCTGGAGTGTCCTTTAAAGCTAGTTTTGCGTTTATGTTCGCCGAGTTAAAACTTGCATTCCTGGGGCCGCCCCACTGCGTATAGATAGACTTTTACATTTTTTGCGTTGGTTTTTAGTGTAAGTCCCATCGATTTCGTTATATCGTTATTTTTTTTCATAAACTTCTGGTGCACTCGCTTTTACTTGTCATCAGACAAAAATCACCTGTGAATGGTAATGAATCGTTGGTTCCCCATATTGTAACCATACGAGGTTTTATTTTCTTTTAAGAACTGAATTATAGAGTCGAAAACGGTTAAAAAATGGTCGAGGAAAGTTCGTCTCCTTGGAACACGCCACGTTTAAAATTTAAAGGGGACCGATTCCCAATTTGGGCCTTTGACAGTGCCCTGTCAGGAGTGTATACAGGATTTTTTCTGGGTGGGTCGTGATCATAATTTTTTTGGACCTTTTCACAATGAAATAACAGCAAGATGTGATTAAAATGTGAATACAATCTGCTTGAAGTGGATGGCAGCCTCAGTTTCAGAATTGCTGGAATTGAGATAGATTACGTCACACGCAATTGGCAACGTCTTTGAACTCATTGCTGGTACCTCATCAATGCTTTTTCATTTATGTCATTGTCAAAAATCCCTAGCAAAAAAATGTCTTTGGAAAAAAATATAGACCTTGGGAAATTTTTTTTGGGGGGGGGGGTGGTGGGGAGTCGTACGATCTTCCCGACCACCCTTTGCATGCACCCATGCCTGTAGATATGATAAAGCGATTCCACATACATGCATTTCCTGAAATATTATTGCGCTTAGGTTATGTATGTTCGATGAGTCCAAAGGCGTCTGCCAAGTCAAAAAATTTCATATGAAGAGTCTTACTGGATTTACGTGCTTGTGCCAGTACGTGGTGTCGGCAAATTTTTCATTCTCTCTTTCTACCACCATCATCATTTTACAGCGTCTCTGAATTCCTTCTTATCTTCATTCTTAGCTTTCCTGCTGAGAGCCTGTTTGCGAAGAGAATTTTTTTTTTAATGAATTGCTTTCGTGCTCTACAATGTACCTGCAATTTGTTGTTTTGTAAAACCTTCATTATTGGAGGCCAGGAATTCTTGGAAGAGTTTGATGAATTCTTCTACAGGGAATGCCGGTGACTCCCGTTATTAGATAATTCATAATGCAAAGGACCGAAAATGTGCTTATCATTTATGATTTCTATTCTTGTCTCGTCAATGTAAGTGGCGCGTCTGTGGTCCCTTATTAACAAATGTCTTTTATCTGTATTATTCTAACTATTTGAGACCAAACTTGTTAAAGACATGACATGGAAACCCCGGATCACAGAAGTCAATTGCCTTGGTACACTAAATAATTTAGTAGCAAAACATTATTTATGAATAAATAATGTGCCGAAAGTATAATAATAATAATAATAATAATAATAATAATAATAATAATAATAATAATAATAATAATAATAATAATAATAGGCCTAATAATAATAATAATAACAATAAATTATAATAATAATAATAATAATAATAAATATATATATATATATATTCAAATTAGGTTTGATACGTAGCACTGTGAACACAATATAAATAAATGGAAAATTATAACATTTTGTTCCTATTTTAGCACGCACGGTTATTATCATCTCTCATATGGTAACTAAAACAATGCTAGTTCAGAGTATTACTAGTACTACAGCACTGTAATGCATATACCTATTTTAATACACTACTGAGATAGGCTTTTATTTTTCAATCTTGATTTCAGAGGTCAACAAAATTCACCGATTCGTGAAAAAGGCCTATTATATGTACATATATAATGAAGAAATGTTGAATTATATATCAAATAATAAATAAATATGTACGCCTATAATTTTCCTAAATAATGAAATTACATTTGGCGCCTCATAGTACACATGCGTAATATTGCAATCATGTATGCTTGATTCGCCCATGGAGGTGATTCGCCACACCACGAGCTAGATCGCTATGCAGTAGATGTCACTGCAACAGAAAGCGATAAGGCCGAGAACGAATGTCTTTTGTTTAGTTAGGGAATATTTTTATTGACGTATTACCTCAATTTTATAGACAAACGATGTCAAAACGACACCGTTTAGACATTGGGGATTGTTCAACATCCTCTAAGAAGCATTCGAATGAGAATGACAGGTAGGTTAATGGGTAGCGGTTGAAAATTAAGGCAAGTCTCGGCCTCTATATATGCTGCTCCTTTTCTCTCTAGTCTACGCTAGGCCTGGTTAGACCTTGTTTGTCTGTCAATGTAGCTCTGCATTAGAAGGGGCATTACTTACAATACACGTGTGAATAATCGCCGCCCTCACAGAGACTTATTCAACCGGCCTAACCTCCTCACAGTGTATGTGCTATGAATAACTTAATTTGTCTTAGTAAGATATCTTGTTGATTACATCATCAGCACTAACTCCACTACCACCTGTTGAAACACATTTAATTAAAAAAAAAAGTCTCTATCCTAGGTCTAGCTAGGCCTAGCCTAGCCTATAGCTAGGCTAGGGCCTTTCCTTAGGCTAGCCTATATATATAGCTAGGCTAGGGCATTTCCTTAGGCCTACTTGGCTAGGCCTATATAGCTTCTATTAGTCTAACTAGGCCTAGGCTAGAGGCATAGGCCTACCCCTAGCCTCAGTTGGCCGGATAAGACACTTCGGCCACCGACAACTTCGGCCGCGCAGAATTTGTACGGCGCGCCATATGGGCATTATCCCTCACCAGCTATTTGATTGTAGCTAGCAAGGTAGATTTTGCGATCAACTAAATATAGCAGCCTAATTGTTTTTTTTTTTTTTTATTGAATAATTTATGATAAAAAGAAATACAAATAAAATATACGGTATGTATTGATATATCATTTATATCGTGTGTGAATGTTATTTGATTGTTTTCTTACTGCGTGTTTAAAATCTCTCGTCCTATTCCCATGCAAGATATTGATTCCCACGATCAACTACAGTACCCTATTCTTTCTGATGCGCTGCTCTAACCAAGTCCAGTCAGCCAGGACTGTGTTTTACCACGTAAATATTATTTGGGCGACCTTAGTATAGCGCAGCGTACGTTTTTTTTTAAACCTGTTTACTGCAGATCTTAATAAATTCTAAAACATTTTTTCCTTTCTTCATCTGTCTTATGTCTGTTCAGAATTTATTAATAAACTTTGTAAGTTTTATAAAGCAAAAGCAAATAAAAAAGTATATATCGCATGTTTGTAGACTAGAACAAGTCTGCTTCTCCCAATAGCGTTGTGGGAACCTACTTGTTAGAATTTTTCTTACTGATTTTACTGTTACTAGGCAACTTGCAGTACTGGCAACTTGCAGTACAGGCAACTTTGTACAGGTATTTTGTTGCCTATTTTAAGCAGTTTATTTCAATTAATGAATAAGTAAAAGCATCAATACAGAACTGTGTGAATTAATTTTATTGTCTTAATTGTTAAAATTTTAATAAACATTTTTCAAAAAATATATAAAATTTGTTTTTAATACATTCTATCAACTTATAAAAGGAGAGTGGCTGCAAAGGCAATGTTTACACAAATAATAACGCTAAAGCATAAAGTACGATATTGCCAATATTTTCATTATTCGAAATAATACGTTTTTCGAGCATAGCTCTTCATCTATTTACTGTCTATCGTTCATATTTAAATCTTGTACATACAAACCATAAAACCCAACCCTAAAAATACAGTTACTAATGAATGATTATTAAAATCAATATCACAATCATAAATGACATTAATATACTTTATTATTTGTGAAGAAATTCTCATAAATAATACGTTTTTCGAGCATAGCTTTTCATCTATTTACTGTCTATCGTTCATATTTAAATCTTGTACATACAAACCATAAAACCCAACCCTAAAAATACAGTTACTAATGAATGATTATTAAAATCAATATCACAATCATAAATGACATTAATATACTTTATTATTTGTGAAGAAATTCTCATAAACCTTATACTGTAAAAGTAAAGTAGGATACAAAATTAGCCCAATTAATGCTAAAAGACACGTTATCCTTGTTTTTTTCCATCACTTTTATTATATATTTATACTCATAAATGTTATAAAAGTAAAGTAGGATACAAAAATATGGCCGGCACCTTTGATTCTTAAAAAAAAACATGTAATCTTTGATCTTTTATTTGACATTTATACAATTAATGTTCATCGGTTCAATACTAGAAAGCTAAAAAAAAAAAATCACACAATGAATGAACTTGATTGCTTATTGTTGGCATAAAACACTGAACACAGCAAGCGCCCATTGATTGAAAGGAGCGCTCTTTGATTGAAAGCAAGCAAAAAGATAGCATTATCAGCGCGCCATACTTTTTGGCACTCGATCGGTCGCGGCCGATATTGTCGGCGGCCGAAGTCTACCTAATCCAGTTGGCCTGGGCTAGGCCTATACCTAGCTGCTACTGTAGTGTTGAAGAGGATCGTCCTAGGCCTACTTAGCTCACCTTCGTTGACAGATGATGCTTGCACATGCTTATTATTGCCTCCGCCAAAGGAGGTTATAAATGGCCCTTTATTATGGCTTTACCACTGTACATATGTCTGTTAGCAAGATTCTGCAAAAACAAGGAATGGATCATCCTTAAATTTAGTGGAATGGGTGGTACATATAATCTAATCTAAATTTTTTTACGTCGCAAAAAAGAAAATGGAATGATAATCACCAGTCATACACGGTTTTTGTGTATTGTTCAGTATTGGCACAGGGTGCAAAATATTGGAATCGCCTCACACACAGCCTGCGTATTGTTTGGTATGCACTCTATGGAGTGACTGCTGTAGTTCTGGATGTTTCTGTCCTACATACAATTCCCAGATCCTCCACATTTATCCTACCATTCCTATGTCTTGCTGAAGTGTTTCTAAGAAGGTGATTTTCTTCCTACCTGTGACGCCTGCTGTGACCAGCAAGTTGCAGTCTTCTTTGCTTTCACTTTTTATGATACGTCGAGGCCTAGCTGTAGTAACTGTGTATAGGGAGGCCTCATGGAACCTAATAAATTCTGCACATGATTGTGATTAAGCTCTTTTTTTTATTGTAACTCAATTTTTAATGATATTTGCAATTTGCATGCACCTATCATTAATATTAAAGGTTCTACCAATCTACCACCGTGGATAAATCAAGACTATTTGTCATTACACCGAAAAGCGAAGTACCTGAGAAAAAAGACTAAGCGTAGTAATGAACTTGCTGATTGGGACATTTATAAAATGCGCAGAAATATGTTGAACAACATAGGCGATATCTTAAAAAAGACTATTTTCTTTCTACTATTGATAATAATAGATTTAACAGTAAGAAGTTGTGGAAAACAGGGCTGCTCGTGTGATTCTTAAAGCTGATAATTGTTCAAATCTAATTAGAATGCATTTATCTCTCTGTTGGTCCTTTCTTTGTGAAAGAAGAAATAATTATTTACTTACAGTTAAAAAATGCTTGAGTGGCAGAGTCCCTACTCACCTTACAGTAATTGTTTTACTTTATTGGGAAATGTACAGTACATACAGTAGCTATTTTACCAGATCCAGTTCTACTGGTAATTTACTTTTACCAAAAGCTAGAACTGAATCTGGTAGAAGAAAATTTTCTTTTAGTGGTGCTATTGTTTGGAACTCTAAGGACTAGATGGTAATGCATGTTCCAGGTATCGGGGTGCGCGCCGTCGTGTCGAGGTTCAGTGTTTCGATATTGATTGTGTCATCATCAGGCATTGTGTCAGGATTCGGTGTTTCGGCATTGATTGTGTCATCATCGATAATAATCAATTCCTGATGATGACATAGTTAGTGTCGAGATATTGAGTCCCGGCGCGGTGGCGTGCGTTTCGGTGCTTGGAGTATCCTTTCGATTTTAGGACCAGGATTTTTTTTAATTTTTTATACTTATGTATTTGTATATTTACTTTTTAAATTTGTATTTGTATTTTTATTGTCTTTTTTAACTTTCTATTGTTAGGACTGTTTTTTCTTCCATTGTATAAATTAATTAATAAGAAAAATACAGTAGATAATAATAACAGAGCATAAACAATTCTTTTAAAGCTTGATGCAAAACACATTTTTTTGAAGTATTGATATTTTATTTTCACAACTTTCAGGAAGGACAGAAGTAAAGATGGTGACCGAAACAGCTCTCGTACATTAACATCAGCTCCCACAAAGCTTCCACCGATGAAGCAAATGGCTATTAATCCCTTCACAGGCCTACCATTTACACCACGCTATCACACAATCCTGGCCAAAAGGATCCAACTACCTGTGTTCGAGTACAAAGAAAAGTTTATGGAAATGTTAGATAAGTACCAAGTCACTGTACTGGTTGGTGAAACTGGTTCAGGTAAAACAACACAGGTAAGATTCTTGAAGAAGTTTATTAATTGGGGCAGAAGAGAATGCACATTGTGCATGTTAGGTTGGATTCTGTATACTTGTGTACAGTTAAGACAAGGCTCATAATAGCAAATTACGATCGAAAAACAGGGGGTTGTCTTATACACATGACATATAATTTTCAGATTTTTAAAATCATGTTTGTTTTTCGTCCAGATCATCCGTAACCTGCAAATTAATTACTGCAATGAAGCTACTAAAATGTTAGTCTTATGAATGAACGCAATTTTAAATACTTTTGAAATAAGATTTTGGTGAACATTTAAAATCACATAAAATTATTTGGAAGATTAGCCCTGTATATGGCTCCGTTTTTAACCAGCTAGATGCAGTATCATGACCGTAAAAAGCAGCAAAATGTATCACTTCCGACATTGAAACGGGGTTGTCTTATACGACTGACATACAGAACTCGTCCAAAACTCGTCCTCAAACTTGGAGGTCCTCTTACACATGAGTACTGTATATACGGTATCCACTGATCAGGAAAAAAATTTGCTGCTTTGTATCTGGAAAGAAAGGCGCTATATACTGCAAAATATTAAATAACATAAATACTTATTTTTTGTTTGTACAGATTCCTCAGTGGTGTCTAGAATACGTACGCGTGAAGTATGCATTGGCAAACAAAAAGGGAGTGGCATGTACACAGCCACGACGAGTAGCGGCTATGAGCGTCGCACAGCGTGTGGCTGATGAGATGGACATAATGATTGGTAATGAAGTTGGTTACAGTATACGATTCGAGGACTGCACTAGTAACAAGACAATTCTTAAGTAAGGACACCAGTTTCATCTCCGTTGTTTGTGTCAAATGATACATGTTTTTTGTTAGAGCGTGTAACAGTAATGATTCCAACTATCAAATTGTTGGTCATTCAATCTACTAATACAATTTTAATTTGTTTCTCCCGCTACAGCAGAGTATTTGAGTTTGTTCTGATTTTCTTTGAGTGTAATACAAATATAAAAAAGCAATTGATTTGTTTTTGGTTTTTATATTAAAAGCTAACAATTAGAGTGCTGACTAGGCAACAAAACATGAAGAGCGCCACTTTCAGGCTTAGTATACATATTATTACCATACAGTAAATAAGCCCTCTTAAACCATTATTTCATTAATTATTATTATTAATAATATTGATATATTATTAAACTAGCGTAGCCAGGAAAGTGGATTATCTGATTTAAGAATAAATTACTGAGAAATTGAAATCGATGTCGTGTACATTACGTGTCCCATATATCCGAACGCTCAAGTTTCAACATAAACTTAGCTATATTCAGGGCACCGTTAAAAACGATGCTTAGGCCTATTAGTATTGCATTTGGCTGAATCTACAGCAGCTATCTTGTGTTGTATACTGTACACACACACGGCTCTGTGTATTTTTAACATCAAATACATTGGAGTTGCACACAACATGGTACAAAGTCAGATGTTAGCAATAACCTGAAAGTTCATCGCACAACACATAGTCATAGGTCAAATGTGTAATGTGACCGACCTACTTATTGTTATATCTTATGGCATCGCTGTTTATTAATTTTAACATTCATCATCATCTTCATCATCTTTTATTAAAGTCCATTTTCCCCGCACACAAGGGTTAGCCTGTTGGAAAGCTGTACATTTAGCTGTAAGGTCGATGTATCATGCAGCACTACATTTTGTAAATCGGAAAATGTAACAAAATGTTAAGCAAAATAGATTTCAGCCATGATTTTTTTTTTCATTGGATAAAACATTAAAATTAATACCATGTGACCCTTTGCCAACCAATCATGAACAAGTTATCATATCTGCTTTCCTATTAGATACATGACAGATGGTATGTTGCTACGTGAAGCAATGACTGACCCGCTGTTAGAACGTTATGGTGTTATCTTGCTTGATGAGGCTCACGAACGTACACTAGCTACGGACATCCTAATGGGTCTGCTGAAGGAGGTAGAGAAGCAACGGCCCGATTTAAAAATTGTTGTTATGAGCGCCACTCTTGATGCTGGCAAATTTCAAGTAAGAACCTCGCTTCCCACTCAATTTAAACCATTGCTCAGTTTTACTCCGTATACATATCCAATTAAGTCCATACGCCCTTCCTCCACAAAACAATATCTTTTCAACATAATGTTTAATTCACTGGTTTTAAACTTTGTAAAAGGAAAGTTTTTCCTTGACTAAGGAAACACCTACTGTAAAATTATGTTTAATTATTATAGTCATTGAATTGAATTGAGCTATCAAAAATTTATTTTAGAAGTCAACATCAATCATTTTTATAGTGATAAAATGTAGATTACCATAAATTGATCTATTAATCGCCTTTCTAGAATAAGCACCGCACCATGCATAATTTTTTCTATAAGCGTTAGAGATATATTCTATATTATTATAGTGAATGTGTATAAATACATGTATTTCTTTGTTTATATTTTGACTTTTTTCTTCTATTCCAGTCTTACTTCTCAAATGCTCCTCTCATGACTGTTCCTGGTCGTACACATCCAGTCGAAATATTCTACACCCCCAAACCTGAGAGGGACTATCTGGAAGCCGCTGTGCGCACTGTTGTCCAGATTCATGTATGTGAAGAAATTGAAGGCGACATCCTTTTGTTTCTCACAGGTCAAGAGGTAATGTATTCAATATTACAGTGCTTTCAATTTGTGCGATGTCATGTCTCTAGAACAGATTTACTCATTGTGACTATTGTGCGTTTCATGCACAATATAGATTAGATAACAATGAGGCACGCCAGTGACTGGCCTGCCTTATATTGTATTAAGACGGAAACCAAAAATCAATAATATAAAAGCAGATCAAGGACTGACAGATACAGAAAGCGACTCTCCACCACACTATTTTACCACAATAATTCATGAATTCTGTTTGTAGGAAATTGAAGAGTGTTGCAAACGTATGAAGCGTGAAATTGATACTCTAGGCCCAGAGGTAGGGGAGCTTAAGTCGATTCCCCTGTACTCAACACTTCCCCCTCAACAACAACAAAGAATCTTTGAGGCTGCCCCGCCAAAGAAGGCGAACGGAGCCATCGGTAGAAAAGTTGTAGTCTCTACCAACATTGCAGAAACATCCCTGACAATCGATGGTGTTGTGTTTGTCATAGATCCAGGATTTGCGAAGCAGAAGGTAAGATATCTAGGCAATTTGTTAATTAGAACCTTGTACAAATGTAGTCCACACCTCAAGCACTTGTCTAATTTGTTTTGTTAATTTGTAATTTAAAGTTATGGGAGAAGATGAACTGTTAGCCACTAGCCAAATGTCTATGTGGCATTTTAGCCTCTCGGTTTTTTCTGGCTTTTCATAAATACATCTATATACCTACAGACACAAATTTGTCAATTTCTGTACTTCTATATAACTCAACTTTTAATTACATCTTTTTTGTTAAACTTGCAATAGAACTTTATTTTTAATACCTTATATTTATTAACTATTGATTTTGATAATAATTATTATTAATATTAGTGTAACATTTTTGTTGTTAACCAATTTCTCTTGGAATCTCAACAAATATGCAAATCAGTTAATAAATATTTGTATCATCCATTTTCAAGTTCACTTAATTATTTATTTTTTTAAAGGAAAATTGAATGAAAAATTTAAAGGAATAATTGTAAGGTTGCCAAAGTATTGATTACTTCAGCAATCATCATCATTGACATGCATCCAAAAGAATGATTTCAATTATACTAATCGAGAATGGACCTTTCCGCTAAGATATTGTTGCTAATTTCAAACAAGAAGATAGCCTAAGTGTATGTAAACGCATGCGTTTGAGGGACAACATGTGTGTTTGTTGGACACAGACGTCTTCCCGGCATAGTTTTGATTGGTAATTTAATGTGGTTAGAATTATATAGCGTTTTATACCGAAGTCTCAAAGCGCTCAAAGTGTGGACTAGCTCGTACAGTAACTTTCTTCTCCCCTAAGGGTCTCTTCATGTCTGAACTACCTGGTAAACCGGTATTAGCTACTCTCATCTGTCCACAACAGGGGCTGTATGGACCAGTACACCAGGGTAACCCCCTACTCGTCTCGAAAGATGTACTTGGTTCTTTATAGTGCACATGAGCCAAATTGTGTACACTGGGCCTACGGTTTATAGTCCTTATCCGAGTAGGCTTGTTCAACCGCCAGAACCATAGGCGAGGGTTATGGCTGTAGGTTGAAGTGCCCATGCCTTAACCGCTCGACCATTCGACTCGCCATAAATTGTCAGTTTGTCAAGTTTTATTGACACTCTAGAAAGGTGCATTATATTTCTTGATCTGTCTGTACAAGCAAAGTTTAAATGGACAAACTCGTCTCTACAGCTGCTGGGCACAAGAATATGCACTATCGTCAGAATTACTTGCACCTAATCTGTCTTCCTTGCTTTTCCATTTGTTTTTTAAATGAATTTCTACACCATCATGAAGGAATTTCCTATAATCTTTGGCTGTACTTTCAAAATGATTAGTGATGAACCTCACTAAAAGTGTGCCACTGAATGTTCTACTTGTTCCTTCACATTTGCCTTGGAGGCTGATATGGCTGCTTTGGGTATTTAACTCTTCTTAATTGGAATCGTAAATGGCTGTTCCATTTCAGATGTTTCTTTTACAATAATGTAGATATTTATTTGGAGTTGTAAAGACACCTGGTTAAAGGTCTAAGTTTAATATCACACAGATGTTCAGATAATATGTGTTGCAATTTTATTGTTTCCTATTAGGTATACAACCCACGTATTCGAGTTGAGTCGCTGCTTGTCTCTCCCATTAGTAAAGCCAGTGCCCAACAGAGAGCGGGTCGTGCTGGCCGTACCAAACCAGGAAAGTGTTTCCGCCTTTACACAGAGAAGGCCTACGAGAGTGAGATGCAGAGCAACACATACCCAGAAATTTTAAGATCCAACCTGGGAACAGTTGTACTGCAACTGAAAAAACTTGGAATTGATGATCTTGTGCATTTTGACTTCATGGACCCACCAGGTATTAGAGCAATTGGTTTATTTAATAGTAGGATGAGTTGCTTTGTTGATATTAGGCTTTCCTACCAATCCCAAGGTACTGCAATATGATTTTACATGTATCTTTTTTCTTCCTCTAAACACAGATTATAATAATATTGAAAATTTATAAAGTGGAGATCCGTCTAAAGAGACAAGCCAAACCAGTCACTCGTTGCATCGTGTTTTAGAGAAACTGATGACTAAAACATGCTGGAATGGCAAAATTTTTGTAATCTATTTTATTGCACTAAACTAACCTTTCTATAACTTCACATCATGCTAAGCTGTTTTTTTGCCTATTTTCAATGTTAAAACAACAAGTTTTAACAATTTTGTGATGGTTTCTGCCTGAAAAATGCCAGAAATCATAAACTTGGAAAGTAGATTTCTCAAATATAGTTCTTTAAACAGCTGTATGTTTAAATGCTTGTAACTTTATAAGAAATGTCAGATTTAAATGATTTTTTACCATTTTATAGCTCTCATTTTACTGTTTAAACCAGTATCAATAAAAAAAAAATTGATTTTTGCCACGAGAGACTAGTTTTGGTTTGTCTTTGCCACAAATGCTCATGATGCCCCTCCACAAGAATGTCAAAATACGAATAAAGAAACTAAGGAAACCAGATACAAACACGGTTACATTTCACCGTAGTTGTGTGCGCGTCACTCTCTCTATGTGGCCATGTATACATAAATACTCCCCATGAGGTGGTATGCTAAGCCCTGTAGGTTTCATCTTTGGTCTGTGAATTGGGCTCTATTATCGTCCGCTGTCGAATGCTGACCTAGGTAGTGGATGGTGGCGTGATGGTGGAGGGGTGCTTCGTCGCAATATTAGGTGATTTGTAACTACTTGAGCATGATTGTTGTGGGGAAAGTTCTACCACACTCCTTAGATACGCTACTGGGAAAAATAATCCTTATGTTTTGGGGAAAATGGTTGTTCAACTCTGAATGCTCTCGCTGTTTAGCATCTCTCAAACTTTCCTATTGCAAAAAAAATTCTTTTATTATTTCAGCACCAGAGACACTGATGAGGGCTCTTGAACTTCTGAACTACTTAAGTGCATTGGATGATAATGGTGATCTGACGGAGTTAGGCTCGATGATGGCAGAGTTCCCTCTTGATCCTCAACTGGCCAAGATGGTGATCGCTAGCGCCCAGTACAATTGCTCAAACGAAATCTTATCAGTCACTGCCATGTTATCAGGTAAACAAATAACTAGAAATATATCACAAGAAATATTTATGTAATGTTTAATTAAAAAAGAAACATTTTAGCCTAGGTTAGAATTCTTGCCCATTTGTAATATGTAAATAAAACCTAAAGATGGTCTTTTAACACTCTGGCCGCCAAACACGGAGATCTCCGTGTTTCAGGTTTTTGTACGGAATCCGATAGATGGGATAATTACCAACATGTACTGACAATTTGAACACTATATTCAGTCTGGACCGTAACTATTTCGCTATTTGTTTGTTTACATTAGCGTTGTACGGTATTGATTTACTTTCACGAAATCGCTATTATCTCAGCTTCGTTGTGCAAATTGCGTAAATCTCCAAAAGTGAGTCATTTTCATTTTACTGTTACGGGCCACCGATTATGATTAGAATAAAATGTTTGATACCATTGTAAAGCTAACATGTTTGTAGTTCTTGTAGTGTTCACTACATGCCAATCTGATCACATACACACTCTCAACAAGCTTCGGAAAAGTGTTAAAATTTGCTAAAATGTCTAGCGGTGGCTGATAATATTTTTTCAAACCGCTGGCGGTCAGAGTGTTAATAATAATAATAATAATAATAATTTAATAATAATAATAATAATCAAATATTTTTATTGCACAAATTAATCAATGGTGCAGAATTTATACCAAAAACCAGAGTGTAAAAATAGTAATTTCCTTCTTAATTTCAAAGATTTAGTTATGCAAAAAGGTAAAAAAATGAAATACTGATTGTTTTGATTATATTATGTTAGATAGTAAGAAAATCATCCTACAGTAATTTAGTTATGAATGTCTTGTCTAATCTTATAATGTAATGATGGTTCATTGCTTTAAGCATTTTTAAGACCCTTTATTTGGGAGATACAAGTTTAGTTGGCACTACCATATAATTTATTCCCCTAGTCCTCTCAATAGCTAGGAATACTCTAATATGCCGATAATTAACTTTGGCGGGACGGTCTGTCGTGGCCCCAAAACCGACAATATCTAGTTCCACAGTGTTTTGTACGACCAAACGAGGCGAAGAAAGCTGCAGATGATGCAAAGATGAGGTTTGCACATATTGACGGTGACCACCTGACCCTTCTGAACGTTTACCATGCATTTAAACAAAGTAAGTGTATAATGCTTTTTTGATAAAGGTGTTTGTCCCCTGATAAATGGCAAAAACAATAAAAATATATTTTGAAATAATTGGCTTATAAAAATTATCAACTTGCTAAAAATGTTTATCCCAGATAATTAAGGAAATGATCATTTTAAAATTTCGTCATTATCCAGTATAAAATCAGGGTAATTACTTTTTATATACAATAATTTTTTTTATGTTAATTACAAAGCAAGTTACTGTAAAGCTCTGTATTTTTGCACACCCTCAGTTCGCGATTTTCACAATAAGATGCTGATCGTGAAAATTAATAATAGTGAATAGTAATTTCAACGCACTATTTTTTTATAACTATACTGTGTGTTTAAATTATTTTCTTATATTATTAATAACGTATTATTTTTGGTCCTTCTACTGTAATAATGGATAAATTCTGTGGAAAGTTCAGCAATGCAAGCAGTATTAGTGCACATAATTTTAGGAAGCTTTTAATAAGTTGTGTTATTCACGTTGGATTTTTTTGGCTTGGAAAGAACAGCCTGGCTCTCCTGGTAACAGTTCGACCTACATCATGGCTACAGTAATTTTTTGAAAAATAATGTTACTCAAGCTGTTTGCACTGGGTTTGTTTTGTTCCAACTGACCATAAAAGTAAAATGTGAGCAGGACTTTAGGCTACAAGCAGTGGCATAACGCTTCACTATTCAAAGTCAGTGGCCTTGGACCTTAGGAGGCCTTCCGGGATATTAATCAGCATTTTTGGACGAGCCCCTAATGATCAGAATGTGTAAAAAAAAGCAATACACACATAAAAGCTAAAAATGCCATTGCAGATGGGGCTACATCCCATAGCCCTGGAGCCCTGTGCAGCCGCCAGGGTAGCAGAGCAAAAAGAAGCCTTAGCCTGTGACCTCGAGTGTCTTGGTTACATCACTGGCTACAGGAAACATAATATTTTACATACACAATTTGTTTTTGAAACAGGTAATGACGATCCTCAGTGGTGTTATGACAACTTCATCCAGTATCGTTCCATGAAGTCAGCAGACAATGTACGGCAGCAGCTTGCGAGAATCATGGACCGGTTTGCAGTGAAACGGACTAGTACAGACTTCAATAGCAAGGACTATTACATGAACATTCGCAAAGCGCTTGTCTCAGGGTTTTTTATGCAGGTCTGACTGTCAAACTACAATGCGTTTAGGGTTGTACTACTGCCCTCTAAAGTCAATAATTTTACAGTGGAGGCATGATTTAAGTCATTGGTTTAATGATTAATTGGACAATAGATGACATGGATGGTGGTGTGACAGTGGTTCTGTAGAGTTTAATATTTTCACTAAACTTTGGGGTTGGGTGTAGTTAAAGAAAGAACAATACTGTTGTTAAATTCAATGTGTTCTCAAATATTAAAACTAAAAGAATTTATAAATTAAAAAAAAAGTCTAACTTAAATTTCTAAAGCAAAAACATACTCTGCATAATCAGTGCCTTTTGAAATAGTAGTAACTATTTTAGTAATAATATGATTACAACAATAATGAGAACACTACTGTAACAAATAATAATGATATTAACGAAACTAGAACAAATAATACTGTAATAATAAAGTAACAAGTAATGGTGATAATTATGATAATACTGTAGTAATTATTTGCATAAAAAAATTACTGTATATAGAAATATTGTACTGTACTTTTAAAATACTTGCTATACATCAATAAATATATCTGTTCATCACAATCATTATTTTTTTGTTATTATAAATAATGAAATATATATTGTTTTAAATTTCAGGTAGCACATCTTGAAAGGACTGGACATTACCTGACCGTAAAGGACAACCAGGTTGTTCAGCTTCATCCTTCTACTTGTCTTGACCATAAGCCAGAATGGGTGTTGTACAACGAGTTTGTATTAACAACCAAGAACTACATCCGTACAGTAACAGATATCAAACCTGACTGGTAAGTACAGTAGAACCCTTTTTTGAGACACCCTATTAAGGGGACAATTTTTTTGGATGCAAGTTGAGGGAAAGTATATCAAACACTATAGCCAAGCCCTATATATGGACACCTCTATTAAGGGGACATGTTCTACTATATTATGAATCAAGGCTATGATCAGAATGGCAAAATCGTGTGTTCACATATTGAGGTGTGAAAATATTTATCTATGCTTTTAAAAAATATAAAAATCCTGAAATGTCTATACATTGATGAGACTGCCACACCATTTATAGGTTCCTGCCTAAAGTGATATTTATACTTCAGAAATATAATAGGCATGATGGATCCAGCATTCATGGGTGTATACAAGGGAGTCGGGAATGTCGTACAACCCCCCAAAAATTTTCAAAGGTCCACATTTTATCCAAAGACATTTTTTTCTAGGGCCTTTTCACAATGACATGAATGAAAAAGCATTGATGAGGTATCAGCAATGAGTCCAAAGACCTTGCCAATTGTGTGACGTAATCTATCTCAATTCCAGCAGTTCTGAAACTCAGCCTGCCATCCGCTTGAAGTTGGTGGCGCTGTAATCAATTTTCCTGTCTCCAATTCATGCGATTTTCTGCACTTTATTAAATGAGACTTAATCACATCTTGCTGTTATTTCATTGTGAAAAGGTCCAAAAAATTATGATCACGAAACACCCAGAAAAAATCCTGGATACACCCCTGAGCATTTGTGGTCAAGGTTGCATATATTTTAAATCGTATGGTAAATTGCAGTTTTGGCAGGTGAAAACAGGGACAGGGGCTGCATATTCCCAAGGTATCTACCTGGATTATTTTTTACTAGAGGATCCTCTGCTTGCAGAAATCTCAACCCTTTTTATTTTTATACCAAACTGTTTGTTAGAAATTGGGCCCTTTCATATAAACTCTGAATAATCTGATTAAATATATAAAATGTGGAAAAGCTCCTTAGGTCCATGATAGTCAACCTGCTCCAAGCAAAGGACCCCAACAGGTAACATACCCCCTATAATTACTGGCCACGATTTATGGCGTATATTTACAGGAGAAAACCCACTTATTGCATAGACTAAAGTTCCTTTTCTTTTATTACCTTTGACAATTCTACCCCCTTTTTTGACCAGGTGTACATATTATGAAATTAAATTTCCTTTTTTTTATACTGCAATGGATAAAGAACCCATCTAAAGGCCTTTCCAGGCAAGCAAATTTTATTTGACAAAATCATGTGACATGCTTAAATATGCTCATGATAACATTACATCATGAACATCATATATAGGCACATCATGGCTATAAATGGGCATATAGTAGTTTTTTGGTAATCAGGACAGAGCTCTTTGTATTCACTTTATTCAAGTTATTCTATTCTTACCACAGGCTGATCCGCAATGCTGCACAATACTACAACATGGAGAACTTCCCACAATGCGAGGCCAAGAGGGTTTTGGAGAGGTTGATAGCTAAGCTGCAAGCTCGAGAGTATGCAAGCTCGACACAAGCATGAACATATCTTTATTAGTAGCCGCTCCTAGAGATAAATCGCGTCAACATCCCCGAATGTTTGAAATCAGTTATGTTTTTACTGTTAATATCAAGTATGCATTACATTCAGTCCTTTGTGTATTTTTTAATGCGTTGTCAGCTTTGTAAGTTTTTTACTTACAATTATTATGTATTATTTATTACTTACAGGACATTAATTGTGTCATCACATGTAAACTATTAACTGTTAATTTGAAGAAAAAAAACCTCCCAAAAAAGTAGAAATGTGTAACATAGGTGAGAGTACATGATTAATTTTGTATCTGCTCAAGAATTCCACAAAGGTACATATGTATCATGTAAACAAAACAAAAAATGGATATATTAAAATTTATGTAAGGAAGTATTGGCTCGCGATTGTATGCTGTTATGCTTTAACTATTTAGATTTCATATTCATTTTAGAAACAAGAATTTATGGACAGTAATTTGTACTGCAAATGTATTTGTTTGTTGAATATTTGTTTTAACAATGCCTAATTGTGATGATGGAAAAGTCGCAAGTACTGTATTTCATCTTGTCATAATTACTACCACTACGTAAATTGGTCCAGTAGTTGTGTGTACAGAGCACCAAGTTTATTAATCCTCTTCATAAATATTTCTATTGCACTTTACTACTGTACTGTTGTGTGTAGGTCCAGTTTTCTTCTTACAGTATAGCATTGTTAGCAGTTACATGGGAACAAAATAACCCTTCACAGTAAAATGAGCTATTTCGCCATTAAATGTGTTCCAAAAGCAACTGTACATTACAGTCTCATGCTACATTGCGAGTCCAAGGAGGAATCTAAAAAGGTTGATAGAAAAGCTCTCAAAGTCTGTAAAATGCTGCTTGTCTTTTCACCATTACTCATCAGTAATAGGGCTACTCATGCTGTATTAAATATGATTTTTCTAATACAGTATGCAAATGCATACTTTGCTTGTTTATAAAGACAAAAGATTATCTCAAAGCCTTTAAACACTCTACCTATTAGTGTTTCACTATAATGATTATGAAGATTGAATAGTAACGTACATGTAAGAAGTTAGTAGCTGAAATGATATGCAATTACGCGTAATATCTTTAAAATTGCGTCTGTACATATACAAAATAAAAGTGAAAGACAGCCACATATGTTGTTTTATTTATTTATGTCCACCATCACAAAAAAAATATAAAAGTAAAATATGTAATAGGAAAAGCAGTTCTTGTTTCTATGGGCACTGAGTGCAGAAGCAATCATGCATTTAAGTCCAGATTAGCAGCAAGTCATGTAACTGTGACCTTGAATGAGAGACACAGTTGGCTTTTTTTTTTATTATTAAATCCTAATGCTTTCCACTGGACTAGAAGTCCAGTAAACACCTTTATTATCTGGATATAATTGAATGGTTCACATTGAACTTTATGCAGTTACCATACTGGTACCCTAATGTGCATCCATGGCTTTTTAAACTAAGTGTAATATATCAGAACATAATTACAGTATTTCTGATTAAAAACAAAAAAACTTCTATATATACATTTAATTGCCAGTATAGTAGATAAAAGTTTGCAAATTATGTTAGAAAGATACACAAGTTAAAAAACAATCTGTAATAGGCACTCGGCCGTATTAACGAAGGATTGTCGCATGGTGTTTTGAAGTCAGCAATGTTGTGCTGTACTCTAATATAGTTAATTCAGCACTACACAATATTCTACCCACGTACCAGTAAATTTCTGGATATATTGCACATGTGGGACGTGACTAGTGTGGGTAAAATTTATTGGTGAACATAGAGTACTACAGTGTTGCATCACAATACCATGTGATACTACTCTGTTGCTGTCATTGCAACCGGATGCCATTTTCTCCACTGACAAACCATTGATCCCAATTAACGTAATTATTAGGTGGTTGTATCTTAGTTTTTCTTTGTAAATTTTAATTGATGATTAAATGTGTGTTCGATAACTAATATAATGTGAGCTTTTGTGTTTTTAGTTGATAACTAACCATTTTGATGGTAAAATATTATATTTTAAAATGCCTATTCCAGAAAGCCTATAAGTCATTCAGGCGTAATGAACAGTAACCAACATCTGGTTGGCAACGAAGAGCGCCACCTGGCATTGTGACTATATAATGTTTTTTTAAAATCAGTATCTAAAGTTTTCCACATTTCTAACTATAATGCTAAGTTTGTTTCCATCTTTGCAATGATTGGTTTTATACCACTTGTCGGTATTATCATTACTGTCCGATAGATTTTAAGTTCAGCATCATCCCCAGACCACTTTCCCCCCACTGCCAAGTTGCCTTCTTCAGACACTGGGAAGCTGAACGATAGGATAGATTCCTGCAAAAAAAAGCAATATTACAAAAAAAATTACAAAGAAATCATGCCAACAACAGATACCTAATGATGGTGGTGATATTATTATCACAGTTGACATGGCAAACCCAGGTGTTTTTTTTTTTTTTGCCAGGAAGTGCAAGTGGCAATGGACGACCTATAGTCTAAGGGGTGATCTCTTACACCCCTTCCTTCCCCCCCCCCCAAGCCCTGAAGATCTGGCCAATTTCATCAGAAAATCAGTTTTTCTCGCTGCTGCTGGGGGCTAGGGTGACCTACCTGCTCTCCTTTTGCCACCCCCTGGATCTGTCAATGTAACACTTTGATTCAGATTTCTATTATGGTATGAGTCAAATCAAGGAGGTTATCCTTGGTCAAATGAAACATCCAATAATATTATGGCAATACTGTAAATAGGTTGTCCCCATTAGGGATTTGAATTCAAGACCCTCCAAATACTTTTCTTGCACTAGATGTACCACCATAGTTTTTCCCACAAATCAATTCATTCTAGTGAGAAAACTGTAATGGTAACGTTTAACAAACAACACTCGAAGGAGTATTACCTCTAGGTGTCAAATACTTCATCTGACCACAGAAGCAATGTTTCTTCTCATTTGCCTACTTCATCACACAGGTGTTCCCTTTACTAATATCCTTCAATGTCAAAGATTAACTTTGTGGTTACCGACTAAGATAGAGATGGTTCACTAACTAGGGCGGTTAGGCTCACCATCACAGGAACAATACAAAAGGTTAAGGGTTCAAATCCTTAGAGAAAGCTTTGATTCTAGGAAAAAATATGATCACAAACACTTAAAGTGGCTGTTCAAAGTAATTATTATTTCATTGAAGAACCTTTCTTGTGGATACAGCTCTTTATAGTTTTACATTATTAATTTTAAACCCCACTTTTCCACTAAATGTATGCTTCTTAAAATGTTACAATCCTTAGTTTTCTGCCACTAGATTGGTTGAGAAGTACAGGTTGAATTTATATCATAAGTTTTTGGTACTGTAAATTAATTTTAATATGAGGATTCAACTTTCGATAAATTCAGAATGTGACAGGTGCAAATAGTTTATAGTTGTACAGGTGTGTTTATGTTACAGTGCCTGGCCTTTGGATAAAAAAAAAAAATCATACTCATTGTGTATGTACAATGCTCTTCACCAGGGGTGGGCATTAAAATTGGTTAAAACATTCATACACTGTTTTATGGCCACTTTATGCTCAATTTTACTATTACTTTTTACAGATGTTCGGTGCCGGGCCGCAAAAAACAAGGTGTGTTCTAGTCAAAAATGGTTCGCAGGCAACACATAGGGTTTGTAATTCATTTTCGCGGGCCACAAAAAATTCACTCACGGGCCGCATCACCAACATCAATTTCCAATTTTTTGGACAATAAATTTGATTTGATTTGATTGATTGATTGGTAACATTCTCTACTCACTGGGAAGTATTCCTAGTCGTGCATTTATTGTAATTTTATCCCAGATAAATTTCAAATCACTTGCATTCATCCAGGTACCCATTTATTACACTCTAGGGTGGTAAAGAACAACAAATGTAGATAAAGTGTCTTGCCCAAGGGCATGAGTAGTGTTACCGCCTGACAAAACATTTTGCTAACAGTGCATTTTGCCAACAGCCAATTTTGCTGACAAATGGTTAAAAAAGATAAAATAAAAATTGTAAATAATGAACACAAATTGTTTTGTGGGGCAAAAAAATGTTGATGACAAGTCAGTGGCGGATTCAGGAATTCAAAATAGAGAGGAGGCTAGGGAGGGTTGGGGCTGAGGAAAGAAAATTTATGATTTTGGCACATCCAGATTGCCGGAAATGGCACACTCTCAGACCTAAATTTAATTATAATTTTCCATTTTTTCACAATTATTTTTATAATTTTGAAAAATTTAGAAAGGGGGGGGGGCGCATTAAATATTCCATTCTTACCACATATAACCATGGAGGAACATGATACAAGGTAACGGTAGGAGAATAACCTATAATTCGCAGCACCCTTGAGTTGATTGATTGCTTATGCGCGTGGTCCGTGACTACCTTGCTGTTGTCAAGTAGTTTCGTGTTCACATCATTGCACAATAATGGGCCGAAATGAACCATAGCATCGGGGTAGCCCCCTACTCTTCTGAAAGAAGGCAATGGGTTCTTTAAAGTGCACACCAGCCAGATGTATACACTGTACCTCTATTTTAAGTCCTTATACGAAAAGATATTACAAACCGAACCCTGTGCGAGTTTTGGCTCAAATCAGCGCCTAAGTTAAGGCTGTAGTTCGTGGCACCCCTGAACAAGTCCTTAAAGACTAGGGTTTTGTGGTTTGGAATATATTTTAATTATATATATATATATAAAGTAGCTAAAGTAAAATAATAATTAATAAGTTTTTTTTTGTTTTTTTATTAACAAGAGATTATTATTTTTTAACAAGAGATTATTATTCAGTCCTTAAAGACTAGGGTTTTGTGGTTTGGAATATATTTTAATTATATATATATATATAAAGTAGCTAAAGTAAAATAATAATTAATAAGTTTTTTTTTGTTTTTTTATTAACAAGAGATTATTATTCAGTGGTCCCTTAACAAGAACAAGTCCTTAAAGACTAGGGTTTTGTGGTTTGGAATATATTTTAATTATATATATATTAAGTAGCAGGGGTTTATTTATGAATTTGAGTAGCAGGAGAAATTTGAAAGTAACAGGAGAGTAAATTGAAATAGGCCGGGGGTATGGGGGCCGCCTAGGTCCCCATCGGGGTCCAGGGGCAGAGCCCTGGTTAGGGGTTAAGGGGGCGAAGCGCCATTGCGCTCCAGGTTTTTAGAGTTTTTTAAGCCCATTTGATGGCATTTCTCTACTTCATTTCAACTACTGAGCTGTAAAAAAGTTGATATTTTTACATATTCTTCATACACAGGCCTAGCCTAAATAGATACTGTAAACCAGAAACTTTCGCGAATCTCAAAAAGCCTAAATTTAATGCATGTGAGGAATATCATACAATAGCTGAAAATATCGTATCGTGAGTTTAGCCCTAGGTTAGATAGGCCTACAGCCACTGTGGAGGCTACAGTATCTAGGCCTAGGCAGGCTTAGGCGCCATAAGCCTGCAGCCTACCTCAGTTGAGGACCAGGACTTAGCTGGCACAGATAAGAAAGAGACAAGTTTACACACATACAGTACACACTCATATGATATTCTACAATTTTGTATGGTATTCAAGCATCTTACAAAATGAACAATGTTTATCAATGTTTTATTAACAAATTATTTTCCTGTAGGCCTAATATCGATTCAAACACATTGATTGATGATGATTGAACATCGTGGTATGTCATATGGGACGGAAAATTAGTTTCCCATTTGAACTTCTTAGTATACACTGCACAGTGGTTGCACATGTGCAATCACATGCAGTGAATGATGATCAGAACCTCCTTGATTAGTATACTATACTGAGTAGGTTAGAATAGGCCTAGAATTTACGAATTTTTCGAGCTCAACATCGGAATTTAAGGTCAGAATATTGATTCAATAATTGAAATACATTCTTTTTAAAGTTTATACACATTTAATAAAATCCACCAAAATAAATTGAAAATACAATTTTTATAATGATGAAGTTGTTTACTTTTCACAAACATGTTGAAATTTGTGGGATTCACCATTTAGGCCTATGCCCTAGATCTGCGTTGAAGGAAACATCTATCAGGAGAGCAAAAAATAGTTATAAAATTTACGCAGATATCGAAAAGGAATGGATAACACATTGGAAAAACAAATGTCTCATGTGATGTGATTTGAGACGATTTTGGCATGCTCTGCCATTTTAATCATTGTACTATGACTCTGAAATTGTGAGTGTAAACAGCATTCAATATAGTTGATTGTTTGGCTTGCTACCTCCGCCAGTGAGTGTAAACGAATTTGAGCCAGTGTTGGTTTTTTTTTATAGATTATTTATCATTTCCGAAATATTTATGTCATCACAAAGAGTGCTAGTAAAATATAAATGAAATGAAAATAAAAGGTTCATAGTCATACACAAATTCATTTTTAAAATGACAATCTGTTTTTTTCTTCTCCGCGGTAAGAAAACCCGGAAGCCCAATGTACGGAAAAAGAGTTTGGGCGATGTATATCGTCATCACCTGAGCAAGTGGTGGAGGAGAAATTTCTATTATGTTATTGGCTAACATGTGATTTGGAGGCGTGGCTTCTTTGAAGGACTCACCCAGGCACGACTGCTGAACTTTGAACTTTAACTTTGTTTACGCCGCGAGTTCATGAAAGTCAAACACAGAGTCTGAAAAATGGTAAACATTTTAACGAACTTTCAACAGAAAGGAACGTCGAAATGAGTGCATACTATTGCAAATTACCTTCGCGTAGGTAAAAATGGTTCTTTACAGGCCTGTTGCGCTATTTATATTGGTGGTTTTTGTATTAATTTTTGTACAGCATTGATTGAAGTAGCCGGCGAAAACATCGTAGTAGCCTATCGAATGCGCCGGCTGCCGGCTCTTAAATAACCCCCTGAGTAGCTGAAGTAAAATAATAATTAATAACAATCTCACTTTTTTTGTTATGTTGATTACTGATATAAATCCAAAAACATCGTCGTCGTCATCTTCTTCATCCGGATCACTGTCCTCAGCTAACTGGTCTGCACTTTGCTATAATACAGAGTAAAAAAATGTTAATACAATTAAGATGAAGCTGTGGATATTGTTCTGATGGTTTAATGTAAATTTGAGGAGTTAATTGCTGCCTTGACCCCAGCCCTTAACTTCAGTCTTGCTATCTTAATGCATGACGGCATGTCGGAAGGAATATATATAGATGGTGTTAAGAAAAATGTACATCAACTATACCAACTAACAACTGGACACGTACTGAAGAAAACATGGATACTGTATATCTACATACATACACATGTAATTTATACTGCTGCTGATTCAACTAATGAGATTCCTGTATGTTAAGCATTCAATATGCTAAAGATTCTTTTCCGAATTTTTTATAAAAAAATTAGTTGATTTGATATAAGATTACTCATCAGAAAGTTTTTTTTTACTGATATTGGTCATACAATTATCAACATGTTTAAAAATCTTGATTTTGCAGCACAATTGACCATTGTTTTTCTGCACAGTGAACCGAAATGCCCAGTTTGCATAGCATATGGCATGAAAAAAACTTCTCGCAAATGTGTTAAAGTAATTTGAATGAACATGTTAATGTATTTCTAATATCCCCCGCCACTCCTGTTTCCCCAGTGTACTGTTTCTTGTTTTATGTTTGAAGTGTTTCTGTAAATTGTTTTATACAGTAATAATAATTAATGTGTATAATTTATATATTTATTATTTACTTTTATTGTAATGTTTATTATATTATATGTCTTGTTTTTTTATGTTCAGGTGGATGAACTAGTATAGGTACTTTCACCTGATTTCCTCACCTCCCTTACTATTATTTATTCTATATCGTGAGCTCAATTTGAATGAAATAAAATAAATAAATTAAATCAATGATTCATTATTTGGGATAAAAAAAAAATGCTAAATTTCATTGCTTGAGTGAATGAATGTGGAAATTATCCATAAATAATTTCATAAATACCTTTACAACACTTCCAACATGATTTTGTGACAGAATAATATTGGTTAAATCCGATAAATCTATGTGAGCTTTTGCAAATAACTGTAGTAAGGGAAAAAATATATAATATATATACTGTAATATAATAATAGAACATGAACATCATTGCTAGCAGTAACCCATCCTATGGAATAAAAAGGAAAATACCTTAGGGCTTTATCAGGGTTGTAGCTGTAGAAAACTTAGGGTTGGTGGTAGATGTTTTAAGGATGGGTGGGTGATAACATTATTATTATTAGTAAACTCTAAATGATAAGAGTGGATTTTAAGGATGGACAAGGGAGTTAATAAAGGTGGGTGGAGGGTAATGAAATTAGCTTTAGCAGGGTGAAAAAATCTAACTTAATGGATGAATACTTGTAGTTCAAATAAATGATAAGCATGCAAACAAGATGTAATGGTGATGCATAGTGTACTGCATATTAGAGTAATTATATGGGTATTATTAAATACAGTTCACTCTCTAATATACTAATAGACAACATTGGTATCGAAATCTAAAGGTCCTTAAATAGAGGCAGTCCCATAATGGAGGGTGAGGCAATGTTAATAATATACAAAATAATTCTATCGGCAACTATCTTTACTTTTCAGTAGTCATTAATTTGAGAGTGCACTGTAAACATGACTAATCACCACCATATTGTAAGAAAACACATTTTAAAACATTAATGTTTTGTCACACCGATGCAATATGGACAAACCTGTTGTAGTAACCTCTTGATGCCATCTGCATCAGTTGGCTGGGGTGGCAAGGCTTCAAACTCGATTTGCACTTCCTTTTAAGAAAAAATATATTAATAGAGGTAATGGTTTTAAGATTCAAAATAATTTTTTTTATAAATTATTTAAAATATACTAAAAATAAAGAGAAAACAGGGAATGCATGGACTAGTTATATACACATTTTACAGTATTTACTTACAGTATATAGAGTAATAGCCAGACTAAAAACTAAGGCCTGTGTGGGAACATATCCTCCACACAAAAATTAGGCCTAGAAATTCGTCCACACATTTCGGAAAAAAGAAGGGCCGATTTCCGTGCAGATTTTGCCGAAAATGAGGCTTTTTTTACCTAATCTTAATATATAGACCTAACCGATGCCAATGGCAATGCATTCTGCAGTTAGTTACTTTCTGCGCACCTATTTTCCTTGCCATTTGAGCTAGTTTTTGAGGTATCATAAAATTCATTAGAGTCTGGTATACTGTAAGCATTATATTTATAAATAATTACTAAGAGTTTGTTGCTACACATAAAAGTTACACAGGGTGGAATGCGTTAACTTTCTTCCCATCTTGAATCAGTAAATAAGTTTATAATAAGTGCTGAAGTTGAACAAAAAATATTTGAAATGATATGGCACTTTAAAAATCTGAACTCTAATTACAGTACAGATTGCAAATTTGTCCCATGGACCTAGTCTGCTTACTTATATTACAGTAAGGCCAGTAAGGTGATTATGATCTAGCCTACTCCCTTAGGCTCTAGGTCTAGGTCGGATGAGGATGCTCTCTCTCTGTTCTGTCGGGGCGAAACAGAGGCTGATCCTACCTGGCCTACAGGCCTAGGCCTCCTACCCATTAGAGTAGGCCTATTAGCTAGAAACATAACCTAAATCCAAATGTTACCTCGTTAATTTCTGAATCTGAATCAGATGTATCACCATTTTCTATTTCGTCACATGAGCTATCATCTTCTGGCTCATTAATCTGGTTTTCTGTATCTTCATTCACACGCCGTTTTTTACCGTAGGACGACATGTTTTGATACTGTTCAACGACTTTTTCAAATGCCCTCTATCGTTAGCCCTGGTATATAAAGCAGTATTTCCTGTCGTATTTGGCGCTATAAAAAACAAGTTTGCTTATAGTAAGCATTCAGAAATTCTTATTCATGAGCAATATTTCATCTTTTAATTATTTTCTGTCATTCGAACTAAATCATTCAACATCTTCTGCTAGTTAAATTTTATTTTTAAAAATAAATGTTATAATTAAATGTTTTTTGTTTAATATTATGACACATTCAGAAATATATTTATTTCGACTTCGTTGCCGGAGCAGACGATATGCTGGATAAATCAAAACACGGAACTCGGGACTCCTTCAATAACTTAGTAGAATTCATGTAAGCTTGCCGTTTGATAATGGGGTTTCATACATATTTGTTCTGAAAGAATATGTGAATATTCATGTTTAACCTCTGCTGTAGTACTGTACTTACTAATAATTTCTAGCGTCATTACCTGGTATTTGTATAGGTCTACTAACTAAGGAAGGTCTAGGCCTGGCCGGCCTGTGGTACCAAATCATACTCACCCAGTACCTTGGCCTTGTCGGTCTAGCTGGTCGAGTAATCCTCCTGTCTCCTATCTAGCGTTCTGTATTTTATTTTACTTATCTAACTAGAGCCAGAGAGAAGGTTTTATCCAAGCTATCGAACATAGGCCTAGGCCTAGCTAGGGTAGTTTTATAGTGAAAGATGTCGGCTGGATATTGTTAGGGAATACGTGCAAAGAATAAGATACGATTCACAGTTCACTTACCCCCTTTTTTCTTTATCCAAAGGTGACGGATTTCAATTTCTTGACTGTTTTCCACTCCCACGATTGCTGTGACCAATGCAATCAATTTAAAGGAATATATATTTCTTTCCATTCACAAAATCCACAATTGCTGGATTGGTATAAGTAGCTTAATAAATACAGGTACATAAAATCTAGCAAGATACAACTTGCCTGTCGTATGCCGAGTGGGAAGCAGACAATAAAAACGAACCTCGCCAATGCAGCACAGAATTCGTATTACAATAGAATGTTACATAATATGCTTATTAGACGAAACATATGGCAAGAAAAAGTTTGAGATGCTCTCTGGACAATTATCTTTTCCGCCGAACCACCATTCGTAATTTGCGTCCTTATGTATTATCGTTTTTCATTCAAAGTGTGCCTCTTGAATTTAATTAGTTCCCCTCGATTTTCATCTACCGTATTTCCATAAGCGCCCCTCAATTTCCACTCTGTTTTCATAAGCGCCCCGTTCAAATAAGCGCCCCTCAAAAAGTTAAAAAAAAAAATTTTAGGGCCTGGGCACTTATTCGCGCGAGTACGGTACATGTGTGATGCTGAGATCAACACACAGCAATATTTTATACCCTATTCAGACTAGCCATTTGAGATCATTTGCAATGTAAACAGCAGTAATCATCCAAAACTGATCGTCACCAACGACACAAACAATTTTACATTGAAATGTGAGGTCAAAGGTTGATCCAACCGTATAGAGTGTCCTACATTGTACATCCATTTTGTGCAGACTTTCTGTGCAATTTTTATCAATTTCTTGACAAAAGCCCTGTGTGGGACGTACAGTAGCTGTGCTACACCTAGAAAATAAAATAGAAACGAGGCATGTGTGCTCATTAATCCTCCCACCCCATGGCATTTACTAAAGCAGATAGAAGAAAGACGAGACAGATAATCTGATGGGACTCAGACTTGACTGAACAGTTTGTGTTCGTAAAGTCTGTTGCAATCTGATTCCGTGGTAAATGGGAGTAATAAAGATTGTAGCACGCAATTGCGACAGATTTGCGATATTGATTACTTGTTGACTGCTACTGGGGAGCTTTCCCACAAGATTGTAAATTGCGATTGGGTACAATTGAGTGTTGCAATTGCTACAACCAATCACAGTGTGATGGCTTGCCTGAATAGGGGTCGTTCAGCATTATCAATATTTTCAAGTGTACATACAGTATGCAAGGGGGGAAGGGGTAGACAAACTTGTACACTTTTACATAATGCATGAAAATATTTATTCGAAATAGAATGCAGTATGTAAACTAATGGTAAAATTAGAATGTAACCATGGATATATTCATTTTTAAGCAACCAAGTACATTGCTTTAATTGACTTCACAAAAAAATGGAGAATGATTTTGCAAAATCAACATTTTTTCAGAGGGGAGCACCAGCATTTGCCCGACGGGGATGGGGCCCCGAGGTCCCCGACGAGGGATCAGATTTCCCTGACGAAAGCAAAAGTGGGTGTGGTCGAGCTTCGGTTAAAAGGTTTCAAGAGTGGTCCCGGGGGGCGAAGCCCCCTAAAATTTTGACAAATTTAGGGGTTTCAAACGCTTATAATCGATTTTAGAGTCTACTGATATGTAGAAAATACATATAATTTTTTTTTCTCCCCGATGAATTGTCCTTTTTCTCCCTCCGGCCTCCCCGCTGGCACCACCCCTGGGTGTAAAGTGCTATTTTTATATCTGATTACATTAAATTAATGTCTAGTTTTTATGCCCATACTGTAGGCCTGCAATTACCGTATATAGATGAAATGAAGAAGAAAGTTGTCCTCTTGAAAGCAGCCAAAGGAAAAATTGAAGATGACTTATATCTTAAGGTACTGTAAGATTCAATTTATGAAAATAATTAGTTACAGTTTAGTGTACAGTAGACCAGGCTATAATTGAGATAGGTGCCACTTGGAGAGGTAGAAATTCTCATATAGTTTTTCTAGACCAGTTTTTTATGGGGAATCAGAATATGTGAGGTAAAAGGGGCGTAACCTGAGAACTTTCGCGTGAGGGCGCTTTTTTCAAAATGGCCGCTAAAATCAAATAAACTACATACATATATATATATAGGTAAAATAAGCACAAAAGAGGTAGGTTTGACCAACTTTTGAACATGTGATGATAGGAGTAAAGTATAATTAGTTAAAGTTATTAATGTGAAGATTTCGAGAGGCAATTGAGGGCGCTTTTTAAAATGTAGGCCAAAATTAAAGAACAGCTTAACAGCAGCTTCAATACCCTAAAAAAATTTGGTTAATTTACAAAACCTGAATGTAATAACTGCTGTTGACTTTTTAAACCCAAAATAACATATTTTAGGGTGGTAAGCTAACTCACTTTTAGAAATGTAAGTAAAAATGCCCCCTTATATTAGTCCTTAACTGTTTACAAGAATGGAAAATATCACCAGAATCCTAAAAAAAATCCAGCTTTCTTACAAATATCCGGTTGTTTTTCATTATTTTTGTGTACTACACAAGGTATTCCAGAGGACCACACAAATAACTACCATAAATTTCATGTATAAAGGCATTAATTCATTTATTACATAATTGTCCTTAAAGTTTACTGTGTAACCCTATGTTGAGCAATAATCTTCATGTATTGCTAATCACACTGCAATCTGAAAGTCTTCGTCTTTACTATAAACAGTTCTTGGACGTCCTTGGGCATCACTGTCTCAATCCTTTTTTGCTTCATTTGATCATTCCATCTGTTGTGAATACTATTTTTATTGACCAAATCATTTACGTCTGCTTAATTTCCATTTTAGCGATTAAATTTGCTCAAGTGCTCAATGGTCTGCTTGCAAACATGGTGCTAGCAATGATATGTCTGTGATCTTGTTACCTCTATTGAAGATTTCACATCTTTGCTTGATTTAAACTTTTCCCCTTAACTCCATACCACAGTCTTCAAGTTCCACATCTTTTGTGACAGAACATCTAAAACTTTAAAGTTGCAGAAAGTGTCAACAAAACTTTGCCTTTGACTACAGAATCATGAGATCCAATAAGGGATGATTTCTTCGCTGGTGAAAGTTAATGTAACTTAATTTGAACAACTTTTGGTATTTGCCAGTGTTTGTGTCTAGAATGACTCTCTCTCTCTCTCTTTCTCTCTGCGGTCATAAAATAAGATATACAGTAGCAACGACTGCAATATTGATGTCTCCAGAATGGAACGGTTGATATTTATGTATTGGTTGTAATTCCTTAAAGCATGCATTGCATGCAGGACGACTTTCGGGTCTGCTTTTCTTGGCTGCTACGAAGATCTGGAACTAATACAAAATCTCTTTCAGTGACAAGGATGCATTCTTGCCGATAGCAATATTGAAGAAGGCATCCAACCAGTTTGTCGAAATCCCAGTTTGCAGAAACTCAGTTTGCCGAAACCCAGAATGCCAAACCCAGTTCACTGAAATCATGAAATCCTATTTTCCCAAAAATCTGTTTTCCGAAACCCAGTCCAAATCTCTGTGTTTTGTGTTACAAAGTACAGCATACTGTGCATTTGAAAGGAAGGAGCTTCATTTGTGTACAAATTAAAAAGAAAAATATTCGAAGACAACAAAGCTGTAGAAAAACACACTTGAAAGCATGGCTATCAGTTAAAATTAGAAATAAAATGAAATTAAATTAAGGATAAGCATCGTATCCTTCTAAAATACTCCCTGCAAACCTTGTCAAGATGGTTGTGCGAGGTCCCTGACCACCGAGGCTCTAGTCAGCCCCTTTGAGTCAGACCCCCTGTGGACAAATTTCTGGAGCCACAATTGACATGTGTGTATATTGTAGATCATTATTAGTTTATTTCCTTTATTCATATTTAAAAAAAAATAAATTTATGTATTTATCATAGGTATGCTAATAAAACGTTTTAACTGCGAGGCCTATTAAATTGAATTTTATTTGCTGATAGCTAATTGATTTACAGATTAAAACAAAAAGAATCATTTAACTAATAAGCCGCTATTTCTTATATAATACATAGTAAGAAAGTGTTCCAACATGAATGTTATGCTGTGGTTAATGTTTTAAGGCTTTTATTTTATTTTCCACAAAGTGGGTTTCAGTGCAAACTGGGTTTCAACAAACTGGTATTTGTAGTTTTTGATTCAGCAAACTGGCATTCGGCAAACTGTGTTTTGGCAAAGAGAACTCGAAATCTGGCAGTCAGCAACCTGGGGTTCTACAATCTGGCGTAGAACCACCAAGAAGAAGCCGACACGAAAGTCTTCCTGTATGCAAAGCTTTAACGAATAACAACCAAGGCATATAGCAATAATCCGTTCTTTTTCTCGAGACATCGATATTACATACAATTACACGCCGGCTTTCTTTCGTAAAGGAAAACGTAGCTTCTGTAATCATAAACTGAGTTTGTTGAAACTTTCAGCAACTTCAGAGTTTTAGATGTTCTGTCACAAAAGTTGTCTGAAGAACAAGAGTATGTCTCACTGCTGCTTGGAGTTAAGGAGAAAAGTGTAAATCAAGCAAGTAACATGTTCAATAGAAAGTTTTGCAGAGGCAAGATCAAGGACATATCATGGTTGCCACCATGTTAGCAGAAATTCCTGTGGAAGTCCAAGAATTGTTCATACGATAAATACGAAGACTTTCAGATTGCAGTGATAAAAGCAAAACCTGAAGATTATTGCGCAACATAGGGCTACACAGTTAAACACTACAGGACAAATATGTAGTAAATGAATTTATGCCTTCTTCATACATGAAAATTATGGTAGTTGCCTGAAATACTTTGGATAGCACACAGAAATAATGAAAAACAACCGGATATTTGTAAGGAAGCTGGAATTTTTTTAAAGA